TGCTTTCTGTCTGTGGTGGGGAACCTCAATTTGAACATAACGTCTCTCTCTAGTATCTAGTTGTATCTGAAGGATGAGCAAAGCAGGCTAACCAGGGAGCTCCTGAGGAGACCTAAGAGAGGAACTACAGAGATGGCTATTGGCCCTGCCCTTAGCATCTGCTTTGGGTTGAAACATAACAACAAAACAGCCTTTGTTAGGGCATAGAACAGATCCTTCCCTCCTAGCCCTCAGAATGAACCAACCCATAAACTTAACCAAAATTTGGAAACTTCACAACATTGGTGGAAGAAATTGAAGATGACACAAACAAATGGAAAGTTATTCTATGCTCATGAATTGGAAGAATTAATATTAAAATGTCCATATTACCCAAAGCAATCTACAGATTCAATGCAATCCCCATCAAAATAAGCATTTTTTTTTTTTACAAAATGATAACAAATAATTCTAAAATTTGTATGGAAATACAAATGACCCTGAACAGCCAAAGTAATTTTGAGGAAGAAGAACAAAGCTGGAGGTATCACAATTCCAGATTCCAAGATACACTACAAAGCTGTAGTAATCAAAACATATGGTCCTGACATAAAAATAGACACATAGATCAATGAACAGAATAGAGAGTCCAGAAATAAACCCACAATTGTCTGGTCAATTAATCTATGACAAAGGAGGCAAGAATGTACAATGGGGAAAAGACAGTCTTTTCAATAAGTGGTGCTGGGGAAACTGGACAGCTGCATGCCAAAGAATCAAATTGGGCCACCATTTAACACCACACACAAAAATAAACTCAAAATGGATTAAAGAACTAAATGTGAGACGTGACCATAAAATTCCCAGAAAAGAGTACAGGCAGTAATTTCTCTGACATTGGTCAAAGCAACGTCCTTCTAGATATGTCTTCTAAGGCAAGGGAAACAAAAGCAAAAACAAACTACTGAGACTACATCAAAATAAAAAGCTTTTTCACAGCAAAAGAAAACATCAAGAAAACAAAAAGGCAATCTACGGAATGGGAGAAGATAGTTGCAAATTGATATACCCAATAAGGGGTTAATATCCAAAATATATAAAGAACTTACACAACTCAACACCAAAACAAAACAAAACAAAAAAACCCCAAACAAGCAGATTTAAAAATGGGCTGAGGACCTGAATAGACATTTTTCCAGAGAAGACATACAGATGGCTAACAGGCATATGAAAAGGTGCCCAACATCACTAATCATCAGGGAAATGCAAATGAAAACCACAATGAAATATCATGTTACATCTGACCTGTTAGAATGGTTAAAAGAAAGACAGGACAAGAAATAACAAGTGTTAACAATAAGGTGGAGAAAAAGGAACCCTCATATGCTATTGATGAGAAGGTAATTTGGTGCATTAACTGTGGAAAACAGTATGGAGGTTCTTCAAAAAATTAAAAATAGAAATACTATATAATCCAATAATTCCAATATTGGGTATTTACCCAAAGAAAATGAAAACACTAATTGAAAAAAATGCACCTCAATGTTTATGCAATGTTTATTGCAGCATTATTTATAATAGCCAAGCTATGGAAGCAACCTAAGTGTCCATTGATAGATGGATAGATAAGGAAGATGTGTATATACACAATGGAATATTACACATAAAAAGGATGAGATCATGCCATTTGGGATGACACAGATGAATCTAGAGGATATTATGCAAAGTAAAATAAGTCAGTTTGAGAAAGACAAATGCCACATGATTTCACTCATAAGTGGAATAAAGAAACAACAAAACAAATAAATAAGCAAACAAAAAACCAGAATCAGACCTATAAATACAGGGGACAAACTTGATGGTTGCCAGAGGGAAGGACGGTGGGGTTTTGGGCAAAATGGATGAAAGGGAGGGGATATATAGGCTTCTAGTTATGAAATGAATAAGTCATGGGAATAAAGGGCACAGTGTAAGGAATATAGCCAATGATATTGGGTTTTTTAAAAATATTTGCTTATTTGAAATAGAGAGTGCTGAGGGGAGGGGCAGAAGGAGAGGGACAGAGAGAGAATCTCAAGCGGACTCCCCGCCAGTGTGGATCCTGAGGTGGGGCTCAATCCCACGACCCCAAGATCATGACCTGAGTCAAAATCAAGAGTCAGACGCCCACTGGCTGAGCCACCCAGGCGCCCCTATAGTCAATGATATTGTGATAGTGATGTATGGGGACAGATGGCAGTTATACTTGTGAACACAGTATAATGTACAAGCTTGTCTAATCACTATGTTGTATACCTGAAACTAATGTAACATTGTGTCAATATATTCACATTTTAAAAAATTTAAAAATTTAAAAAAAAAAAAAAAGGACCCAACCCTATCAACACCTTGATTTCAGACTTGTAGCCTCCAGAACTGTGAGACAATACATTTCTGTTGTTTAAGCCACCCAGTTTGTGGTACTTTGTTACTAATACAGCCTCCTTTGTTAATCTGTTATGTAACAAATTCTTTGTTACTAACACAGTTCATGTAATAACTAATACAGCTCCCCACTGATAAGCTGCGTCTACTCGCAGCCCCTGATAGAGAAGGCGGAACCCCTTTGTAACCTCCCACTTTGGGTCAAAGCTATGGGGAAGAATGCAAGGAGTTCTGAGCCAAGGACAACCAATCTTAAAGTTAGCCAGGACCTAGGACTGCTGCAGCCTGCCTCAGGGAGATGACACAGGACCATCAAAGCAATTCTCAGACAATAGGAGGCTGTAGTGGGGTCATGGGTGTTAAGTTAGGAGCCCTGTAGACCCTAGCATGTGGCTGCCATTTGGGGTTGTGTATAGGATGAGAAAGCAGAGGAAGCTGGTCAAGAGAAAGTAAGAAGAATGGAGAGGGGCAAGCTGACGAGAGAGACTGAAGAGAGAGACAGAGACATAGAGACTGGCTGGGCCCTCTAGCTGTTTTGTTTCTGCTTTTCCTGAAGCCAGATTTCTCTGGGTTCCTTCATGCATAGCCTTTAATAAACCACCCCCCCCTTTCGCTCTAGTAATTTGATTGTTCTCTTCCTTGCACCTAAAGTGGTGTGAGTATGACAGCTCGGAGAAGAAACTTCAGTCCCTAGAGAAGAATACACATAGCAAAATAGTGACTAGGACATTTCACTTGGTCCAGCTCCCCATAGTCTCCTGTCTTAAGCTGAGAAATAGCAGAGTGAGTTAAAAACTAAGAAATTGCTTTTTCTAAAAGCCCTAAGATATTAGGCACTAGGTAGAATTGTTCTGGAACCCTGTGACAAAGCATAGCCTGGAAAATGGAGAGAAAGGTGGGGGCAGGGGTAAGGGAATGAGCATAGCGATGGAGCTAGAGCCTGGAAGGGTTCTGGGGACCCAGTCCTGAAGGCCTTACAGACCCGCTGAAGCAGTTTGGCCTTTTCCCAGAGAAAGAGAGTGGCCCAAACTGAACGCATTTCAGAAAGATGAGGATACCAGCAGTGTGTGGGATGGATATGAGGGGAGCAAGGCTGGAGGTGGGGACTATGACTAAGAGGCTGTCGCAGGATCCAGCCACGAGGTGATGGTGGCCTAAGATGAGGCCAGGACCCTGGAGGAGGAAAGAGGAAGGGACTGAGGGAAGAGACGTTGAGGGGGTAACACTGAGTGGACCCGGTGAACGTAGAGCTGGTGGGGAGGAATGGATAAGGACTTACTCACTGAAGTGAACAGCGGGCAGAGATGCGTCCCTGGAGCCAAGGACCAAGGCAGCACATTTCTGACCCTTACCACTCCAAGAACCAGTTCCTGACATTTGAGACCTGGCTCCTCCAGGATGGCCCCAACCCCAGGGGCTGAAGGCAAATGCAAGCCCTGCAACAGCAGGAAAGCTTCTCTCCAGGCTGCTGCGGGCTCAGAGCCTGGGGCTAGACCTCAGGGCTTACACCTTCAGGAGAATCGAATCTCACATAATCACATATGTGACAAAGGCCTCAGCTATAAGCAACATTAATGAGGACAAATGAAGGGGCCGAACGCGGCAGCCCGCACAGCGGCTCCCAGGGCCCTGCCTTGCAGGGGGGCTGCTGGGGCGGCGGGGGAGCACCTCACTTTTGGCCGCAGCTCTTGGCCTTGCCTGGTGGAGATGTAGGAGAACCCTCTCACCGAGGGGGCGCCTCAGCCACTGCCTGGACAGCCTGGGCTTGAGGACAGGCCGTGCATGGCAGGGGGTTTTGAGGGATGTCTAAGAAGATTCTAAGAGCATGCTTACACAATTTTACGAAAGCTATCTTAGGGGAGATATGCAAGTAGAGCTTAGTTGGATATGGTCTGATGGTGTTAAATAAACAACAATCCCTGCATCCCGTTGGTTGCTGCATTGGGAACATAGCTATTAGAATTTTAATTCTAGCCAATGAGTAACGGCACCCAGACAGGCATCCGACCGAGTGCCATGAATCGGTCCTGCATCCAGGATGGGGTTGGCTCTTAGCTCATTCCCTCCTCCCCTTCAAGACCACTGGTATCTGCCCATCCATTTCTTTTTGTGACAGAACAGAAAACATTCGACTTTGGGAGTTTTGCTCCCCCCATCTCCTGAGGGGATCACAGCCAACAGATAAGAAGGCATTTATAAACCAAGCAGCCTAGGACTAGGCCTGGTGAAGTGGCTGTGGTTCTGTCCTGGCCCTGGCTGGCGGGGATGCGGGGGGCGGGCAGGCCCCACTGTGCCAGGCTGGGTTTTGATGCCTAGAACCAGCTCAGACAACCTTCAGAGGTAGAAAAGACAGCAGTCTAATGTGCCTTTGGTGAGAGGACCTAAAAAACTCCCCCATTCACAGGCAAAAGTGTTTGTTGTGAAAGCATCCCAACTTGGCAGCAGGGAGACTCTCACCACCATTTCAGCATTGGCTCTGTGAAATTCAAGAGACTGCAGGGAGGACAACCTCTCTCCCAAGGGAGGTCTCCGACAGGACACTAAAAGAAAGACCCCTCATCAGAGTCCAAATGAAACATTCTCAGAATTTCCCGACATGAATTAAACAAGCCGATTTTATTAGATCAATATGAAGGGATTTGAAACTAATTAACCAGTGTGGAGATCAGATGAGCCAATGACAGCGAGACAATGGAATGAAAACTTGGCTTGTCCGTAAAAGGCCTGCCTGAATTCAGACACTGTAATAACACCGGGTCTCACTCACTGTGGAGGAAATTCCCATTGCTCAGTAAAAGAAAGTAAGGTGGGTGACAAATTCACTGTCACCAGCAATCTTCTTCAGGGAATATCCTCTTCATGACAGTCTGATTGATTTTCCATTCCTGGAAGGAACAGAAGGAAGCAGAAGTGATCAGAAAACATAAATATCTTTTAAGAAAGCCAGGCAGGATGCTGGAAGAACACATGTGTACAAGAGAAATAAACAAGAAAAATAATGCACTTGGGAAAATGAGTTTCCAGCAACAATGGGGTGACTGAGACAATAAAATTGGGATGGGAAACAGCGTGGAGCCTCTTACCACACAGCTTGCCTGGCAACCACATCCTCAAGGCGGAGGCAGGGGAAGCTCACGTGTGGGGGGGCCAGTTTCCTCCTCTCCTGAAACAAACATTTGGGTCAGATGAACTCTAAGGTCCCTTCTGGCCCCAAGATGCTACTATTCGTTACTACAGTAATGCCCCCTTCTCCGTGGTTTTGCTTTCTGAGGTTTCAGTTACCCGTGGTCAGCAGCGATCCGTGGTTGGCTGTGGTCCAGGAGCAGATGATCCTTATTCTGAAGGTCAACAGTATCTTCTTGTAGACTTCCTCCTGTTGCTGAAGGTCAATAGTAGCCTAACGCTATGTCACGAGGCCTACCTCGTTCACCTCACTCATCTCATCGTGTAGGCATTTTACCATCTCACATCATCACAGGAGTGAGTTCGCTACAATAAGATCTTTTGAGAGAGAGAGAGACCATATTCACATAATTTTTATTACAGTATATTGTTATAATTGTTCTGTTTTATGATTACTCTCTTACTGTGCATAATTAATAAATTAAGCTTTATCACAGGTAGGCATGTATAGAAAAAACATAGCATACAGTTTTGATGCTTAGATAGTACTATTCACAGTTTCAGGCATCCACTGGGGGGCCTGGAACGTATCCCCCGTATGGATAAGGGAGGACTACCGCATTCCAGAGCTACCCTGAGAGAGGCCCAGGTCAGCTTTGACAGAGAACTGGTGATAACTGCATTGTGGGAGGACAGAGTGGGGACTTCTAAATCAGGGCTAGACCTGACCTCCACGCACTCTCTTCATTTATCAGAATCTTCTCAGGACCCAGTCAGTTTGTCTCATATTATTTTATACCAGCCTAATGCTAGGCTGTCCATGTGGTGGCTCAAAATGTACGCATCCCTCATGTCTCCTGAAGTGGTGAAAAGCCCTCAGCTTTCGGAGTCAGAAAGAACTGGATTCAAATCCCCACTATATCACCAGCTAGTTGTGTGATTCTAGACTAGTCACTTCCACATAATGGAGTATTAGGCAGCCATTAAGAAGAACGAAGGGCTCTGTAAGGATTTACATGGAGAAATGTCCACAATGTATTATTTAATAGTACACCAAAAGGTGAAAGCAACCCAAGTGTCTATCAATGGATGAATGGACAAACCAAATATATATATATATATATATATATATATATATATATATATATATATGCCCATTGGGATATTATTCAGCCTTTAAAAGGAAGGAAATTCTGACATATCCTATAACATAGATGAACCTTGAAGACAGTATGCTAAGTGAAATAAGCCAGTCACAAAAGGACAAATCCTGTATGATTCCATTTATCTGAGGTGGTCAGATTCATAAAAATGGAAAGTAGAGTTGGTGGCTACTAGAGGTGGGGTGGGGGAGGGGAGAATAGGGAGGCAGTGTTTAATGAGTACAGCTTTTCAGTTCGGGAAGATAAAAAAGAGTTCTGGAGATGGATGGTGGCGATAGTTGCCCAACAATGTGAATGGACTTAATGCTACTCAACGGTACCCTTAAAAGTGGTGAAAATGGTAAAATTCTATGTGATGTATGTTTTCTACAATAAAAAAGGTAAATAGCAGAACAGTAAATATGATATCCAATTTTGGTTACAATTTTTTTCAATCTCTATATTGTCTATGAACAGAGGAAAGTCTGGAAGGATACACACCACACCGGTCACCATGGTTACTTTGGGGGAGTGGGGTTGGAAAGGGGTGCTAACGGATACTATGATTTACAAGTTACATGTGTCTCAAAGCACAAGAGCTTGTGTTCAGTTTTGACAGGGCAATGCCAATCAAGTCTGACTCTCAAAAATCCCTCTGTTTCCAAAGGAAAAGGTATTCATCATAACTGTGGTTACTCCTTCCTGGAATGCAGTCTGTGGCTTTCCATTTTTTACCAAGTACAATCCAAACCCCTTAGCCTGGTATTTCAAGCCCTGCAACCAGCCTCTTACTCTTCCCTTTTAACTGCCTCCATGCGCTCGTATCACAACCATTCCCTGCTCCCTGAGCACAGTTCTTCACCTCTGTGGCTTTGACCAAACCATTCTCTCTCCCCACTGTCCTCCCCCTCGGTCTCTGCCTCCCGATACTTCATCCATTCTTCCAGGACACAGTCTCTGAATCCCTCCGGTGGAAGTGATTTCTCCTTCCTCCCTCAAGGCAATCATGACATCGAGTTCATCTCTGATTTGTCTGTGCATATACATCTTCTCTCCCCTCATGGACCCGACACTCCTTGGGAGAAGGGACTGGGCCTTACACAGCCTGGCACCTACCACAGTGTAATCGTACAAGAGCAACAATGGGGATGGTGGGGAGAGCGCCACACGGTGCCATGCGCACAACCCCGAGTGCAAGTGCCTCCTTAAATGTCACACTCTTGGGGTGCCTGGGTGGCTCAGTCGTTAAGCATCTGCCTTCGGCTCAGGTCACGATCCCAGGATCCTGGGATCGAGACCCGCATCGGGCTCCCTGCTCGGCGGGAAGCCTGCTTCTCCCTCTCCCGCTCCCCCTGCTTGTGTTCCCTCTCTCACTGCGTCTCTCTCTGTCAAATAAATAAATAAAATCTTTAAAAAAAAAAGGAGTACCAGGATAGACAGGCCACTAAATAAGACAGTTTCTTATAAAACTAAACACGTAACTACCATACAACCCAGCAATCACACTCCTTGGCCTTTATCCCAGAGAAATGAAACTTACATTCACACAAAAACTTGAACATGAATGTTTAGAGATCCTTTATTCACAAAAGTCAAAATGAGAAATGATTAGACATCCTTCAATAAGGGAATGGTTAAAACAAATGTGAAATAGTCGTCAGCAATAAAAAAGGAATGATTTACTGATACCTACAACAATGTGGATGAATCTCCAGAGAATTGTGCTGAATGAAAAAAGCCAATCCCAAAAAGTTACATACTGCATGATTCCATTTATATAATATTTTTAAAAAGGACAAAATCATAGAAGTGGAGAACAGATTAATGGTTACCAGCATTTAAGTAGGGCATGGTGGGGCAGGAAGTTGGCAATGAGGGATCCTTGTAGTAATGGAAATGTTCTATATTTTGACCATATTAATGGCTACCCCAGTTGTGATATTATACTAAAGTTACTAATGTTAACATTGAGGGAAACTGGGGCGCCTGGGTGGCTCAGTCATTAAGCGTCTGCCTTCGGCTCGGGTCATGGTCCCAGGGTCCTGAGATGGAGCCCTGCATCAGGCTCCCTGCTCAGCAGGAAGCCTGCTTCTCCCTCTCCCACTCCCCCTGCTTGTGTTTCCTCTCTCGCTGTGTCTCTCTCTATCAAATAAATAAATAAAAAATAAAATCTTTAAATGTCGCACCCTCGGCACCTGCCTCACCTCACTTAGTCCCAGCTGCTACCATTCACTGAGTGCCCGCACGCCAGGCACCGACCTCACCAGATTTCTGTGGTATAGGTGGTATTATCCCCATTTTGGAAATGAAGAAACCGTGGCGTAGAGATTAAGTAACTTGCCTAAGATCGTATCGCAAAAACGGGAATTTGAACTCAGCCCTGACTTTCTAAAACATATGATCCCAATAATTACAATCGACTGCTTCACAGTAGGCTTGCACATGCAGTAGGCGCTCAATACTTGAGTGTTTAATGACTTCAATCGGAGAGAGGGCAGCATGCCGCCGGGAGAGCGCAGGGATGGGTGACACAGTGCTGGGAAAAACTTCGGTAAGCACTAGAAATATCAGCTCATTCCCGCTTGCCGCATTCAAAAGAAAACCCCATCCTGGTTCTACTGCTCTGTTCAACCACAGCTTTCTCTTCGCTCTCTTCCTCAATTTCAACGCCCATTTTCTCTCCAACAGAAGCCTCATCGTCTCCCCCAAAGAGCCAGGCTCTGCTTGTATCTTAGAACCTCTCGGATCCTGTCCTCAGACGCGCAGACTTGATTCGGCCACTCCACCTTTTGTGCTCTCCGGCAGCGCTGCTGGCGCAGAACATGGCAAAGACTGTCAGACCCTGAGAAGAGATTCCAGGGGCTCTAGGAAGGGCAGGAAGGAGGGGCTGCCTGCTGCCGAGGGAAGGGGAGACCCGTGTGCATCAGCCCTTCCTCAGGAGCGCACAGCCCCAGCACGTGGTGTATCGAGACCTGTGCTGCGCGCATGCGGCCCCTGAAAAGGGTGGCTAGTCTGAACGGGGATAGGCTCCAGGTGTAAAACCGGATTCCAAGGCTTAGCAGAAAAAAAAGACTGCAAACTCTCGCATGAATAATTTTTAATGTTGATGACATGTTAAAATGGTAAGATCTTGGATAATTAGATTCAATATACAGATTGTTAAAGTCAATCTCACGGTTTCTTTCCAGTTTTTTTTTTTTTTTTAAGATTTTATTTATTTATTCGACAGACAGAATGAGGGAAAGAGGGAGAGAGAGCATAAGCAGGGGAAGCTGCAGGCAGAGGGAGAGGGAGAACCAGACTCCCCACTGAGCAGGGAGCCTGATTTGGGGCTTGATCCCAGGACCCTGAGATCATGACCTGAGCCGAAGGCAGCCACTTAACTGACTGAGCCACCCCAGTGCCCCTCTTTCTAGTTTTTTTTAATAGGACTAGAAAATAGGAAATTACACATGTGACACATTTCTGGTCAGAGCCCATCCAGATCTGCAGACTCTGTTTCAGACCCACGCCTTATCCAACCACTGGGGGGTCCCAGCTGCCTGGACTCAACTTAATCCCACTTGGACTTTCTGTACAGCCGCATCTATAGTGACCCATACTCTGGAACTTAGAAGCATCCTGGCCTCTGAAGCCAACTACAGAGTTTGAGAATAAGAAATAGCTGGATCTTCGTGCATTCACTCATATTTCCCTCTCCGGCCCATCTCCCTGGCTTCTTTCATTTAGGACACTGGTTCTCAACATGTGGTCCCTGGACCAGCAGCATTGCATCACCTGGGAACTTGAACTTGTTAGAAATGTAATTATCAGGCACCATCCAGAAATTCTGATTCAGAAACCGTGGGGATGGGGCCCAGCAAGCTGATTTTTAGTAAGCACCAAATGTTAATCTGATACATTCTAATGTTTTCCTTTTTTCCCTTTTCAAGTTTTTATTTAAATTCCAGTTAGTTAACATACAGTGTAATATTAATTTCAGGTATAGAATTTAGTGATTCATTGCTTACATATAACACCCAGTGCTCATCCCAACAAATGCTGTCCTTAATGCCCATCAGCCATTTAGCCCACCCCTACCCACCTCCCCTCCAGGCACCCTCAGTTTGCTCTCTATATTTAAGAATCTGTTTTCTGGTTTGTATCTCTCTTTCCCCCCCCTATGTTCCATCTCTTTTGTTTCTTAAATTCCACATGAGTGAAATCATATGGTATTTGTCTTTCTCTGACTTATTTTGCTTAGCATAATATACTCTAGCTCCATCCACATCATCGCAAATGGCAAGATTTCATTCTTTTGATGGCTGAGTAATATTCCACTGTATATATATATACACACCACATCTTCTTTATCCTTTCACCAGTTGATGGACATTTGAGCTCTCTCCATACTTTGGCTATTGTTGATAATGCTGTTATAAACATCGGGGTACACGTGCCCCTTCGAATCAGTATTTTTGTATCCTTTGGGTAAATACCTAGTAGTGCAATTGCTGGATTGTAGGGTAGTTCTAACACGGATGTTTTAAAACCATTGTCTTAGTGCACTGTTTCTCAAACTTTGCTGCGTATTAAGACCACCTGGGGAGCTTTTAATCTGGGCTTTCCCAATGCCCAGATCACACCCCATGGCAAGTAAATCAGAATCTCTGGGGGTGGGACCCAGGCATCAGTTTTTTAAAAACCCCTCCCTTGATTTCAGTGTGCAGCTAGGGTTGAGCACCATCGTCTAAGGGTAAAGGACTTGAGAATTATCAGCCAGAGCTGGGCAGGCTGCAGTATGTAAGCAAGACAACCTTACTGAGGGAGGGGATGGGGAAAGACAGGGCAGTGCATTTTCTAATGGCATGAGAAAGAGGCTGAACTGCGCACGCCCAACCTAGAAGTTCTCTTTCAGTAGGTCAGCCGCTGTAATGAAACAGGGTTTAGTTCTTTAGATTTTCTGAAGTTGAAATGACATGCGGAAAGGGAACAGCTTTTCCCACAGTCCACCCAGAGGAGAGGTCAAGAGAGGCCTGGGTCTAGGTATGTTTAAATAAAGAGATGTCTCAATAGGGTTCCAAAAATTGTGATACATTTTAGAAACTTACATTTATTAAATTAAGGTTTGTAACACATGTAAAATTTAAAATATACACAAGGCAATGTAATCATCCTATTCGCAATGTAATAGCAGGATTTATTTTTAAAATTCATGGGCATGGTACCAAAATTTGGCAGAAGTTTAAAGCCAATGATAATTTCCTTCTTCCAGTCCTATTAGCATATCTTTGGGGATAAAATTTTCAAAAATCCAAATGTGAGGCCTTCGGTGACCGTGAGACCCATGGATGAAAGGCCCTCCTTTGCTGTGCCCCGGGAAAGGTGGGTTGGGGTATGTGGGAAGGAAGTGGGGGCTCTGCAGGTGTGCACACACAATGCCAGCCCCCCACTAACCCCCACCTGCCCGACACACAACCTGTGCTCTATCTGCCGTTCGCCGCCCTCCTGGCCTCTGGTACCTCCCTGTCTGTAGGCAACAGGACTCAGAACAATGACAGTCCCAGGACCCCCGCTATCCACCTTATCAAAGTAATTCCTCCAGTTTGATACACAGTTGTCTGGGGAAGGGAGGAATTGTGGAAACACTTCCTTTGGGCAGAGCATGCAGTATTTTGGGTTTATAAAAGCACATATTCTTGGGTTCCAGAGGCTAGCCTCAGCTCAGGACTCGATGGGACCATTAGGCTTTAGGAAGAAGAGAAAGCAGTTCCAGACTGGACAATTATTGCCTGAGTAGCAGGCACATCAGTGAGGAGCTGCAATTGGTCCCAGGGTATATGTTTTCTCCTCCAAGAGGTGAACTCAGACACGTGGCCACTAAAGTGACCCCCAGCCTCATGCCTCAGAGGTCTCTAAGAAGGCCCATGGCCTGTGGGATCCACAAAGTGCAGGCAGCTTACGTACCACAGGATGAGGAGTAGGGGGGTTGGTGGGTGGGGCAGGGAGGAAACGGCAGCCTTGTTGTCACTGGCTCCCTGTGAACCCACGGCTGCCGCAGTCTTCCTGTTTCCTAGAGATACAAGCCCAGGCCTCATGCAATCTTCTCTCCTGGAGACCAAAGCTTCTCTGGAAGAAGGTCCACACCCAGGCAGAGGAGGGTGAACACTGGGATTCAAAGTCCAAGGCCAGCCCTTACATTTCACAGAGGGATCAGCCACTGTAAACCCACGGCAAAGTCTGATTCCTTGGTCTCATTTGCCCCATTACCTTCCCTCTGGGTCCATAGGTTCCTGAGTTTCTTCAGCCTATGGAAAACACGAGGAGGAGGGGGAAGAAAGGGAGAGGAAGGAGGGAGGGGCAAATAAGCACAAGGCCTGCCCACAGCCCCAGGGCACCAGGGTGGTAAACACTTGGAGGGAAGCCAGCTGTCTGGCACCTCGAATCTTCCACATCTCCCCAGCCAAGACTCAGACTTGTATATTCTGGGCTCTTTCTGCCTCATTTCACCCAGGCTTTAACGTACCCAGACCTCGGTCTGGGTTATTCTGTCCAAAACTTTCCTCTGGCAATCTAGATTGTAATGCAAGATGTACACTCTCAGAATCAGATTTCTGAGGCCTCAATGCAGGACAGTGTGGACTTAGCAGTCTGGCTACATTCCATTTCCGTCAGCCCATCAGATGAATACCAATGAGGTGTTCATCGCCTCCACAGGATTCGGGAGACAACAATGGCCCAGGTAAATCGGAAGGACCCAGCCAGAGCTCAGCTGGTCTAGCTATTTAGGGAGAATAAGGAGAACATAGAGGGTCTGAGAATCAATCCTGAGGTTGTCATATTGCTCCTCCATTGGCCGTACAGCTACTGGTCCTAAAATCCACCCCTCGATTCTGTAGGATGGAAGACCGCTTTCAAGAGACAAATCCCAGAGTCTTGCAACAAGTACCGCAATAATAATAATAATAGCGTTAGTAATGATGGTGGACATGCATCACTTTCTGTGTGCCAGGCATGATTCTAATGATTCACATGGATTTACTTGGCATAGGATCTCTGGGGCAAGGTAAGGACCAGCCTCACCAAGGTGGCCTTAGGCAGCTCCCCGGGGGACAGTCCCTTCTGCGATGCTAGTTCTTTGACACAGACCCATCATGACTCTTCAACCTTAACCTGCGAGTTCAAGTCTTAGCCAGCTGAGGACCCAGGCCGACCCCTCATCCCAGGGAAAAGGGGAGTGAGCCCCCAGCAACTGCACTAACTGAGCTTGCCTTTAGGAGAAACACAGGAAGGAGTGAGTGTGAGCATCTCGAGGAGGCAAATGCTGTCTGATCATTGCTATTGCCCCCCTAGGGAGCGTGGGGGTGAAGGGGTTGTCTCATTTTATGAAAATATGATCTATAAAAAGCCTAAATTAAAATGATTCAGAAAATTATTGTTGTCTCTATAAAGCAACCTGCTCTGGAGTACCTTTCTGTATTTCCCTAAGTATATTTAAAACAGGATTTCAAAATTAGATTTACTGAAACCTCATCAAGCACACATGCAGTGCGTGGCGCACAGCTATATAAGTGCTCCTAAACCCCTGGTTTGCAAGAACCTTATTTTTCGAGGAGTGTGGTGGCCTGTGTGGGGGAGGGGGAGAAGGGAGCACAAACAACATCACACAGCTGCTGACCCTGTGTTGGCCCTGGGCGTTTTGGCATCACCATGTGGTCCTCACAACACACCCTTGGGGGATGTACCATCATCTCCATTTACAGATGAGGAAACTGAGGCTAGGGAGGTCAAATGCCATCCTCCTTAGTGCATAGCCATTAATAGTAGAGCTTTGTTAGAAGCCAGACTCCCCTTACCCCAACGACCAGAACTACAGACAAGGTGCAAAGACTAACAGTCCCATGGCTCCCTAATCACAGATGTGGCTGCAGAATCCCCTCATTTCCCTTCTTTTTGGCCTTCTTTGTCTTCTCCATCCAGTCAGAATGAATTTTAGCTGTGTCCCGAGCGGAGTCTGCTTTCGGCTGCAAAGAGCAACTCAGTCTCTGGGGCCAGCCCAGCTGGTGGGTCTGTGAATTAATGCCACTTCCAGAGCCGTTCTCCAAAAACCACAGCTTGACTAGGAGGACTCAAATGCCTGCGTCTGTCCATAAGGGCATCCCTCGAAGCTGCCAGGTTGACCAAGAGGTGCCCTGGCGGTGGAACCACACAGGTGCACCGACCTCCAGAGGAGCACAACAAGAAGGTCTCAGGAAGCGCCCGCCCCGGCCCCCCTACTCAGAGAAGTTGAGCTCCACGTGGATTCGCATCCTGACGCGCCAACACCCACTGCAGACCTGGCATGTCTAACAAACACAGCGGTCAACCCCAAGACGCTGCAATTGTTACCTCATGTTAAAACGGACCTGAAGCTGCAAGCAATTAGCACTGCATCTGTGAGGCAGGGAAAAACAACCAAGAGAACCCGGGCTTGAAAGGACTATTTTGGTCCAGATGGAAAATTGATACATTGTGTGCATGGTAAAAATCCTTTCAGATAGGTGTTTAAACCTTCAATTTTAAAATTCAGGTTTTAAGTGTTATTCTGGGAAAAGCAGCAGGATTCCTTTAACATCAGGAGATCTATAAGTAAACTAAAAAGCCGTTGGAGTCTTCAGTAAAAGAATCCATGTAATAAATGAACTCAGGCGTTGGTGCAAATTAATCAAACTGCATCAATTACCAACTTTAATTAGTCACGGAATTTCAATACTCGAAGGGATCTTGGAAATCATCTGTTCCAAGAGTAGGAATTAGGGAAAACAAATGGTCAGGTGGAGAAAAACCTTCTGCCTGGAGAAACACACAAGGAAACAAAGAAACGCTGTCACGAGGCAGCGTGCACAGGACTTCGCACATAGCCTGGGTTCAGAGCTCATGTCTGTTCTTGATGGCAGTAAAAACCTGGCTGAGATGTTTGACCTTAGCAAGCATTTATACCTCTGTAAACTAGGTAGGTGCAACACAAGGTTACTCTGAGGCCTAAGGGAGACAATCCACAGAAAAAGCTTAGTATGGTGCCTGGGATGCCATATGGTGCCCGGGACATCAGCCCTCAGTAAATATTAGCTCCATAGAAAAGGCAACTCTACAAACAGAATCTAAGTGTGCCAAACTAACACACTGTGTATCACTGGCCTTTCTCTTATGTGTCTAGAAAAAAAAAACAGTATGTGGTAGACCTAAGTACTCAGACGTCTGGCTATGAGAACAGGACATGGTACCCAAGGTCTTCTCAGAATTTAAAAAAAAAAAAAAAAGATCTTCATAGGAGTGATCCACATCTCTGCTAAGAAAGAAGCCAGGGCGCCTGGGTGGCTCAGTTGGTTAAGCGACTGCCTTCAGCTCAGGTCATGATCCTGGAGTCCCCGGATCGAGTCCCACATCGGGCTCCCTGCTCGGCAGGGAGTCTGCTTCTCCCTCTGACCCTCCCGACCCTCTCCCCTCTCATGTGCTCTCTCTCTCTCAAATAAATAAATAAAATTAAAAAAAAAAAAAAAAAGAAGCCAGACCTGATAAGCAAGACAAGAGGATCATGGAGATGGTGACTCTCCTCTTTTATAAGGGTAAGTGAAAGCTTCTTGCAATGGTTGTTAATGCAAAGCTGTCCCAAAGTTATGTAACTCTGGGCCAGGTATTTACCTGGCCAAAAGAGGTCCACCATGAGCCTCAATGGTGTTCAATTTTAGTCTGGAGATGAACCAGTGTTATAGAGTGACTGACTGAGAAAAGTTAAAGGTTAACCAGTAAAACATAATTCTGTATTTGTGTGTCTTTATGTCTTAACGTAACATTAATTTGGCCTTATAACATTTATTAATTATGCTAGAGAAGGCAGCATAAAATCACAGGAGAATCACAGGCTGTGTGAATATAACAAATCCTGGATCTATCCATTAGTACTGGGAGATCTTGGATAAGAGATATAATCTCTTAACCCTCAGTGTTCCCATATGTAAAATGGGGATAACCACGCCCGCCTCATGTGTTGCCGTGAAGGGCCGGCACAGCGTCTGCCGCATAGTTGTACCTAATAAGTATTTGTTATGTTCATCAGCAGCTCTATTTTTTAATGGAAAAGAGGGCTATCCTTGCCTTACTCAGTTTTCCACACTGATAGGAATTCTAGCCACTTCAGGCCAAAGCCAAGGAATAGACAGCACTCTGTTCAGCAACAATGCACCTGAATTACAGACATGGTGTTTGTGAGGGTATTCGCCCTGGAGTATATAACTTCCCAAACCTGAACCTACAGGGTCAGAAAAGACAGCTGGACTTGAAGCAAGAGACAAGAGTCTTCATCCCATTTCTGCTACTAACTAGCTTTCTGTGTTTTGTTTGTTTGGTTCGGTTTTGACCTTAGGTGAGTCACTTAATACTTAACCTGTGTCTCCGGTTCCAAATTTATAAAATATGAGGGATTGTTTTTAGACTAGACAATATCCAAAGTCCCTTAGAGCTTTAGAAATGCCATGTCTCTATAGCTGGTTCATGCTGTTTATTAAAATGTGTGACTACACTCTACTCCAAAAGCCACAGGGCCCTCCTCCATGTCCTCCACCATGTTTCAACTCATGATCTGTTCCTTCAGTTAGTGGCTCCATGTAAACAGCAGCTGCACAAACAGAATCGAAGTGAACCAGGTGTCACTGCCATACTTCTGCTCATTCTGGAGATCAGCAAAAGCCAGGTGAGCTGGGAGGAAATGGATCGGCCATGAAGACAGGATTTGACTGTGAAAACGAGTTTTCTGATGAGTTAAAACAGGAAGAATGCTCTGAAGACTATTTTATACCTAAATAATGCCACATGGATTAAAAAAATAACAAAACATGCAACCTCCCCTACCTCTGCAGGTTTTCATTTCCTGGGGCTGATAATATATTTCACTTGATTCCAAACTGATCCCTCACCCTGGAAAAAATTTTGATCAGAATTCAAAATAAAATGAGGGCATGTACCAATCAGACCAACGGGGACAAGCACTTCAGTTTTATAGACTGTTCACATCTCACAAAACTAAGTAGTTGATTTATCATTGTAATTTTCCCAACACTTAGCAGCGTCTTGTACCTGGCAGCTCTTTGAAGGCAGAGATGATATTTCCATCTCTAGCACGGTGCCCTAGTGTATTTACAGATGCTGGTTTTAGTTTGCTAGGACTACCTGAACCAAGGGCCACAGAAATGTATTTGCTCACCATTGGGAGGCTAGAAGTCTAAGATCAAGGTGTCAGTGGGGTTGGTTTGTTCTGAGGCCTCTCTCCTTG